TTATTGAAAAGAAACTTCAAATTTCTGACTCAAGTCATTCCCAAATACCCAGATATATACTCAGACTTCTGGTGATAAAAGAGGTGTGTTTTTTTCAGAGTCCTTCAAAGGGCACAAAACCCAGGAGAAAAATCTTCTCAGACAGACAAATGCACTTGCTTATAGACTTGGACACAGGAACCCCATGTAAAAAGCTTCAGGAGATTAATAACGTGGGAGGAAAATTAAGGCACCTCATAAAAGGTTTGAAGTGACAAGGGAACAGATCACATCAACTTGGAAAGGTTAAAGAAAGCAATTTATAGACACTAATTAGGGCCTCTTTTAAAAGTGCCTTTGCAAATGACAGGGTTGGGTTTATTTCAGAAAGGTGCAAAGGAAGCAGCCTGAACTCCCTGCAGATGCTCCTGAAAGGGTGGGTGAAGCATGCTCAGCGTCAACTCACATGTACAGGGTATTTAAGGGTCAGCATGAAGGGAAACATGGGGGATGTGTTTATGTGAATAAGCTGGTTCCTCCCCAAGGAAATCTCCCACACTGCCACAGGACGCAGTGAGCCCCAAGCTTGAGCCCACAGCTCTACCAACAGGAACTTTTTTTCTGGCTGCCAAGTCCAAGGTCATCAAACCTGAGTTTTCCTTCACTTTCTGCTCATCAGCCCTAAGGGTGTGCATGGTTAAACTCCTGCAGAAATGTTGCTTTATGCAACACTCTGGCTCCGGTAAAGTTTCTCTTGCAGGATGAAGTACCAGGAGGCGGGAGCTGAAGGACTCTGCAGCGATGCTTCCCAGAGCCATGGCTGGGAGGCAGCAGGTGCCTGTGGGAGGCAGCTCTCAGCAGGAGAAACCAGGGCACCTCCAGTATTGCTGGAAGGTGAATTGGTCCTTGGGGGTCATTATTTCTCCACTGGCTCACTGAAAGGAACACAGCTCACCACCCAGCTAATGCCAACACCTCCAGCTTTTGTCAGTCAAGCGGATGCTCCCCCTGCAAACAGCCCAGGTGTGAGAAGGGACTTCCAGACAGCAAATGCCACATGCCTGTACAAGCAGCTACTTTACCCACCTTTGGGATCTGTTTTTTCAATGTACAGAACATCAACTCCTCTCCCCAGTCTCTGGGGCTGCTTTTAGAGGAGCTCAGCGATGTAGAAAGACCTGGACATGACAGCCCTGCAGCAGCCAGGGCTGTTTTCAGGGATGAGGTGCTGCCCTGGGAATGGCAGGACTGGCCTCCTCCCCACAATTTCAGACCATGATTTTGCAGGACAGTCTCGAAGGGCTACAGCCTTCAGCAACTTCTTGTCTTTCTTCTCACAGTTCCTTTGCAATCAGTATGGTAGCTCATAAAGCACTGCTTTATTGCATTATAAAGCAACTGCTTCACAGTCATTGGAACAGCCCAGAGGCTGCATCCAGCACTGTGAACCCTGTAAGCTCTGTAGAGCTGAGTGTTCCCCCCTTGGTACCGTCCCCTGCAACCAGCTCAGACTGAGCTCAGAGTGGGGTGAGGACTCGAATATATTTCCACTTTAAAAAGTGATGATGTGTGATGCCCCTCCTCACAGCATTCCCATAGGGGAGAGTGGAGCAGGTCCAGTCTGGCAACTGGGAGTGCTCTGCTCTCACCTTGGAGTTCTCCCATGAACTGTCTGTAGGTCCAGGGCAGCATTCTGCAGCCCAGGGGAACTGCCCTCAGTCTGGGGTCACAGCCCATCACCTCCTTCTCCCCAGCACCACTGTCCGCTCACGTCTGCCAACAGCGTGCTTGCAGTGTGCTCCCTACCCTGGTTCTGTCTGCAGAGATTCAAAGGAGCTTTTAATAGAAACTTGTTTGTAAAATTTGGGATGTTTTGACAGATCTGTTGCAGAAGATGTGAGGAACAAACAGACAGAAGCCACCACCTCTTTGTAGCTCCTGCCCATGCTGATGCTCCCCAGGAGTCCCTGACTTCAGTCCTGCTTCATCACCATACTGAGATCATAGAACCACAGAATCATTTAGGTTGGAAAAGCCCTCTAGGATCAGAGTCCAACCATCCCCCAGCACTGCCAAGCCCACCGAGTGCCAAACCTACGCATCTTTTAAATCCCTCCAGAGATGGTGACTCCACCACTGCCCTGGGCAGCCTGTTCCAATGCTTAACAACCCTTTCGGGGAAGAAATTTTTCTCAATATCCAACCTAAACATCCTCTGCAGCAGCTTGAGACCATTTCCTCTTGCCCTATCACTTGTTACCTGGGAGATACAGTGATTCTGCCACATGCCTGGTCACCTGTGGGTGAACCTGCACTTCTTACGTGCTGAAGAAGTCCTCTTCCCTAAGCCTGTCACATCTGCAGAGTCAGAGAGGTCACAGGATGAGTGGAAGCCAGAGTGGCTGAGCCCAGTGGCTGTGCCATCAATGGCATAAAGAAACAGGGATAAGGGAAGGTGCTGCAGGTACATGTGGGTGCACAGGAGCTCTTTCAATTACATCTGAGCAAGAGGAAGGTAAAGAACAATGAAATCAGAACATTCAGCTCCTCAGGGACATGGGGCTGCTCCCTGAAGAGAAAGGCAGGGTTTTGCACCCACCGACTCCATCCTAGAGGGCTCAACCCATCCTCTGCATCAGGAGAAGATCACATCACAGCTCCAAGACATCTTTGGGACAAAGAGCCAACTCACTACCCAGCTCCACTTTCTTTTCCCTGATTTCATTGCACAGTATCTACTACCACCCCCTCTCCCACTTCAGGAGTGAGAATGATAAAAAATAAACACAAAGGCATGGAAAAGCCACAAAGAACAGAAGTAGCACACCTGCCCAGAAGCAGCTCGGAGGTGACACGTGCCAGCTGCGCTCCCAGCTCCAACCTTCCTCACACTGACTTCTCAGCTTCTTAATCATTTATATTTCACCTCCCCCTTGACTTCCCACATGGAAACAAAAGATGATTGATATATCAGAGTAATCACCTGGGATCTCCAAAAGCCCACGCATTCCCTCACTTTGACCTAGGGCACTTGATAAGGAATTTTCCCAGTTTGGCACCTGAGTTTGACTTTGTCCCCTCTTCCCTTTTATACTGGTCCCACAGCACAGAGAGGGCAGAGCAGGTACAGAACCTGCCCATACACTATTTTTAGGACTTAAATTAATTGAGCACAAAACAAATTTGGTGTAAAGAAGTAAGGCATCTGAAAAATCCAGCTACCCGAGGGAAGCACCTGTGCCCCAGGAATACTGCCCCTGCCCTCTCCAGCAGGTAGGGAGGTTGATTTTTCCATCAGCAGGGAAGTGTCTTTATCATGTTTGGTGTAACCAGCATCACATCAGAAAGAGCAACTGCTGGTTCAAGCCTGCTACCTGGACTTGCCTATGGAAAGAGATCAACAATTATGGTACCAAAGAGACATGCAGTGATGGATTTTCCATCACAGAAGGAAAAGAGGAAAGATGGGAGTTGAAAGCTCAACTCCTCCACCCCCAACAGCAAAGTATCCATGTCCACATGTGGCGCAAACCCATCATCCACAGGACCTCTGCCACCAAACATTAATGTCACTGCCTGAAAACACACCAGCCCTGCGTGCTCACTGCCATCACAGAGCACAACCATCCTTCACCAGAGCCTCCACCATTTGTGCATGCCTCACAAAATCAGGAAGTATTTGTAGGGCAGAGAGTGCAGGAGCTTTCCTCCTTCCAAATTGCAAAGAAAGCAAGCGCAGAAAGCAAAACTATGAGGTTAGGCCTTTTGCAGACCCACCACACCTTCCAACCTGAGTCCTGAGCAGAGGCACCAGTGCCGCACAAAGATAATGAAACGCTCGTTATCCACCCCAGTGCCATGACCTGTCACTGGCAGGTGTATGGCTGGGTACAAAAACCAAAACCATTCCCTGCCAAGTACCTGCCAGCACAGGTGAGGTCACCAAGTCACCTCACCAAGAGGTGACTTGGCAAATACTGTAACAGAGCACCAAGGCAGGCACCACTGCCCATGCTCCATCTCCAAACAGGTGCAAAATGCACAAATGAGGAGAAGTTACAGACCACAAAAGGCCTGCTTGGAAATAGGGACGTGACTTTAGGGAGATTCTTTGTAAGACAAGATGAAGTACTTGTCCTACACCCACCATACCAGGTAAGGGTACACTGCTTCTTGCAGAAGACGCTGAAAATCAGAGCAGCACTCACTAGCAGAGATGCTCAACCGGCTAAGAATCCTCCCAGCCTCAGGATCAGAAAGGTTGCACCGATTTCACTGCCTTGCAGAGCAGCAGCCTTAAAGGCTGCTCCAGCTCTCCTCCAAGACTTATTTTTACTCCTCTGTAAAAAAGTACTCTCTGGCTCCCTGGAACTCACAAGTTTTTCCCCATGCTCTGTTGAGGCAAATGGTTATTGACCTTTAGACATATTTTTTCCCCCTCTTTTCAGATTTTGTAGCAAAAGCAAAGCACTTTGATCCACTTTGAAATGGTGTAATTAAACCAATTTCTGCACAATATGCAGTTCAGTTCTATAGGAAGCAGTAAGCAAAGCCATACTTTACGGTATTTTGTGAAAAAATTCATATATCCGCGTAGCTCTCAATCCATACCCTCAAGCAGGGAAGCTGAGGAGATTTACACTGACATGTAAATCCCTGCGACAGACTTCTATAAAACCACTGAGAGGCACACCCAGAAGGCAAAGGAGCGTTTCACACCTTCTGTAAGTAGGAAGTGTGAAAAGGAAAGAGATGAAAACTGCCTTCCTTTCCCTAAATCTCAATCACAACTCCTGCCCTATCCTGGCATTTGTGCACCCACTTGTGATGCCCATCAAGGCGAAGCTGGTGTCATACAGTGTTTTGAGGACCCCACAGCTATATCAGAGATGGCAACACTTTAGAGATCACACCATGTCAAGGGCAGTCCAGTGCATGGATGACAGGACAGATGCCTCTGCACACCACAGAGGGCCTCACACAGAGCCAGACAAAGAAACTGCCAGATACAGATACTGTACCTTCCTCCACGTCGTTCCTCAGAGAAGCCTCCAGCAGAGCAACGCTGGCTTCAAAAGATACTTTCTTTCGGTTCACAGCATTTCTCTTCTTTTCATGCTTCCTCTTCTTGTGCTGCATCTCCTTCTCATACTGTGCCCACTTCTTCAGCTGCTGAGCCCTCCGCTTCTGGGCTGCCCGCAGCCTCTCCAGCGTGGGCACCTTGTCCAGCAGCTGCAGCTCGGTCAGGAGGTCCACATGGGCATCCATTGCTTCTGCCAAGAGAGCGGTGGGGAATGATGTCCCAGTGGGAAACAGTGTCCCACCACAGGTCCTCTGGATCACAGCCACCTGCTGCTATACCAGCATCTTGAGGCAGAGCTGAGGAGGGCCCATTGCAGTGTTCAATAAGAATATGGTGTAGAAATCTGAAATAAGGAGGAAAGTATGAGGGATCAGGCCTCCTCATTCCATGTAGGCAAGCAACTAACATCAGCCTGTTGGAAAACACAACAGGCAACACTTTCCACCCCAAAAAAGGCAGCTCAATTAATTGTGCTTTAATTGCTTGATTGTTCTCACTGACCTTTGTGATTTCCCTCTTTGTAATTTCCCCCTTCCCTTACTCCAAACATCCAAGCAAAACCCTCTTGATAAAGCAGCAGTTCTAATGTGCATGGTGTTCATGCCTATAGTTCACATCAGTCCTCTCTTAAAAGCAGAATTGTCTTAATGAGCAAAGATCTTGTACACATTTGATATAATTTGTCCAACAACTCAGGAGAAATTTGAGTGCCGAGACACACATCCTTCCCCCTCCAGCTGATCCCTTACAGCATAGCCATCACCCCCCATTGCAGGTGTCCCCACCATGCAGCCAGGACTTCTTCATCCATCAGCCCCTTCCCAGCCCAGCCCTATCCAAGGACAGACAGATAGGACATGGCTCCCAGGGAGGTATTGCTAACACTTAAATTGCCCCAGTTCTTAAAAACATGGGGGTTGTGTTAATTTCTCTCTTTGGGTTTTTTTCTCTTCCCCACATGCTAAATCACTCTGGTTTTGCTGTTCATGCTCCACAAGCATAGCGATGAGAGCAGGTAATTCACAGCTCCAGACTCTTAGTGTGACCATGACACTGACCTCTGTGCAGTGCTACCCACAAAGGCATCACCCAGGGACCCACGGGCAGCTGCCCAGTCACCTGCTGCACAGGAGGAGGAAACATATCCCAGATTTATAGAGCAGTCCAACAGAGAAAGGTGCATTTGAAATAAATACAACATCACAGGCAAACTGAATGAGTCCTTTCCAACTCACCCATGCAAAGCACAATGAATGCAAGGTGAGCATGCCAAATCCAGGTAAGAAGCAAATAACCACATACAAGAGACCTCTTGTGGGTCAGGCAGCTTGGAGGGGGAAAACAAAAAACAAAAAGAAAGTGCTGATGGAAAGGGGAGACTGCGGAAAACTTAAGTATTCTCAATCACCTGAGAAAGCCCCAAGGGGACGGCTGAAGCCATTCCCTGCTCAACTCTCCTGCTGCAAAAGAGGGGAAGCAACATCTCATAAGCAATTGATGCAAAGAATCTACGGGAAAAATAGTAAAAGAGAGGTAGCTAGACCCAGGTAAGACACATGGCAAGGATACCACACCTTACCCCATCCAGCTAAGCCAGGAAAAGCCTTAGCTTATCCCTCTCAGAGGGTGAACCAGCCCATCGTGGAGGCACTGTTCTGAGGGGTTGCAGGGAAGTGTCCAAACCACATAGCACATCCACCATAACCCAGTGAATTTCACCAGGCTGAGACAGCCACACCTACTAAACACAGCTACAGATCTTCCACAGGGGTTTGACCTTACCTATAAATATCTGGGCAGACTGACAGCGACACACACCATTTCCTCTGCCAGATAATTGGTTTGAGAACTGAAAACAAACAAACCCAGCCAGAGCACACAGGCAGGTCCTGGGCAGTTTCTTTATCCAGTAAATGGCCAAGGGCAGCTTCAGCAGCACCTGCAAACCTTATTTTGAGGGTTTCAGAATAGACCTGAACAAAAAAACCCTGTTTAATCTCATAAGAACTAGTTCCACACAGGGACAAACCCAAATCCTCATTAAGTTTTTTATAGGAGATACACCACCTAGAAATTCAAACACTTGCCTGAGATGGAAAATATCAACTCATTACTTTAGTATGTCTCTGGAAAGCAAGGGAAGGGTGCCATAGCTCCTCCACAGCACAAGAGCCATGCACAGCTCCCCATGACCCCTGGCCGCAGTCCACAGTCCCCACGAGCCAGGACTCATGAGGGTCCCCAGAAACCCTGAAGAAAATGCATAAATGAACATTCTAAAATGCTTTTATTTTGGGTAATCACATTTCCCAAGCACAGGCACTTTGGTGGAATGCTCTTCAGGACCTCTGGTGAACTCGGCTCCTGCCTCTGGAAGGCATTCCAGGGAAGGTATCTTTCCTGGCGATCTCCACTGCAGTAGCACAGGCTGCAGATCTGAAGCCCCGTTTACAATACCTCGAAGGAGGGGAGATAAGGGCAGGAAATGCCTCTTGAAATACTGAGGCACTCCCACCCCACTCCTTTTCCAGGCCACTTCTGCCATTGTTTGCTAAAAGATGAACAAATATTTTCCAAAACACACCTGGAGTAGAAACAATTCTGCAGGATTATTAAAGCAAAGAAAGCTTATTTCAGTATTTCCCAAAATAAGCTGCAAGCTTTCTCGGTGGTTTTAGGATTGCATTTGGGAAACAGCAACAGGACATGAATTTACAAGGAGAGGACAGGTGTGGCTCTGCTCACCCATGTTTCAGATTTCCTGCACAGACTTCATCCTGCAGTAGGTACTCTGCTCTCACAACAGACCAAAAGGGAGATTCAAGTGGTCTGCAAAGGGGAGACAAATGGAGAGGGGAATTCCACGAACATGGAGACACCTCTGGAAGTACCAAACACCAGCATCTCCTCTATCCAACAAGCAAATGAACGTCTAAAGGAGCAGAAAGCTCACCTTGAGAGCTATTCCTGAAGGAAGTGCAGCTCAAATTCTCCCAGACTTAGGTACAATTCCCTAAAACCCTCCACAGACCCCAGAGCTTCAGAAAGCCTTTGGCTCCATCACTCTGGCTGCCTGTTTTCCAGAAACCTGATTTCTCCCCTGTATCATAAAACTGGCACATTGACTTCTTGTACAAACCAGTCAAACCAACTATAGCACAGGTTCAGTCCCCAGCATCTGTTTACCTGCAAAGCAACACAGAAGTGGCTGTGTGGGTGTCTGTGGTTTGCAAGGCATCTCACTTTGGTTTCTGTTTTATTTAAAGAAGAAAAAGGGAGAAAAAGAAAGTGCCATCTTTGTGTTCGATCAAGCTGAGTTTCCATGAGCTCAGCAGATCTGCCTGGCACCACACCAAGCATATCCTGCCAGGCACACATGGCCCCCAGCCCCGCAGGGACAACAGGGACTATTTCAGGGGCCAAAAGGAAGGCAAGATGCTCATGCCATCCCCCTCCTTCGGGTGTTGCAGCAGGGTGCAAAATGCTTGCTCTAACTGTGTCAAAGATTGGTCCCTGTGAAGAGTTTGCACGTGTTGGTGAACACCATAGTGGGATTTCTTGTCAATTTGCATTTCCTGTGCCTTTTGTTTCACCTTAGTACAAGACTCACCTCACTAAGCCCAAAAGGTCTTTCCGGGCACTGGTTACTCACTCGTAATACAAGACCAGACAGTGATTCCAGGAATGGAGAGTTTCCTGAGTGAGTGATTGCAACCTGTGCAACCCTGCCCGGAGGCATCCCCTATGTACACACTCTTTCCCATTTCACATTTAGAGGCTGGCACCTGCATCCTGCAAAGGAGAAAACTGAGGGTACTTATCTTCCTGCTCCAGCACACATTCAGAGCTGTTCCCTTGACCTTCCTACAAAGCATTAGAGTTGCAGACACTTCGACATAACATTGCTGAGATTGGGACTGGATTTATTAAAGCAGCCACGCTGCTGAGGGAGGCTAGAGAACCTCCTCCTTGCCCCATCAGATGGTGAAGCTGGAGCTGAGACCTGCAAATCCTCCATCATATCTCCCCAAGGTACCAGTCAAAGCACAGTGTGACACTGACACAGAACACAAGCACTTAAAAGAGTCCTTCACTTAAGTATCATCACTTGATTTCGGTTTTATTTCACTTAAAAGAAACCGAACACAAACCACGGAAGAGTAACCCTTGAATGGGACACCTTGAAATGAAATAGTGCAGCAACTAAAGAATTCTTTAAGCTATGTATCTTTCAAGCAAAGGGAAAATTCAAGACCCTCATATGTGAGGAGCCACTTCTGAAATCAACAGGACCATTCCCATTTACTGGATTACTTGCAGGGAGGCACCTGCAGGATTGGGCCCAATTAGGTGAGGTGTCTGCAGCATGAAGCCAAGTCAGTGGCATGAAGAGTGACATAAATAGCCCTCTCCTCCCCACACCAAGCTAATCTCTCTGCTGGAATTGGAAATCCAGCACAAAAGCCTATAGCAGGGATCTGAGTGCATAAGCAGTTGGCAGAGGAGGTAGCTGCCTGATTTATTTTTGTCACTAAGAGTCAACTGCGCCATGGCAAGGTGAGGAATTGCCAAACTCACTCCTTCTGCTTCTTGTCAGGGCCAAGGCCAATTTGTGTGTTCCTGCCCCCCAAAATGCATGATGACCACCCTGTTGCAGCCCTTCGGCTGAACCCATCCTTCCAACAACGGGCGCCAATGAGGAATCAACAGACTTCTCCTTCAGGACTGTCCCTGTTGGGTGATAAAGAGAGGCTGAAGATGCGTGTTCTGCAGTGGTGTTTCTGCTGTTGGCCAGGAGCTCCCCAAAGACTTGGAGGAAGCAGCAGAGCAGCCCTTCATCACTTGCTTGTTGATGAGGGGAATAGCTCACTGCAGCCCAACAGCTGTAATACCATCTCCATCCAGAGACAGATGGAAAGCCACCGAGAGAAAGAGGTGACAGCCCAAGGGACAGGCAGGAACAGCAGGGAAAGGCAGGCACAGGAGTTCAACTATCCCCAAGGGAGGAAAAGGCAGGGGACACAAGGAGCTGCCCAAAGCGTAGATGTGCCATGGGGATGACCACACACAGAGCTGAGATCCATTCCCTCCTCCACACAGCCCAGACCAGGGTGAGAAGGGCAGAAGCATCCCCTTCCCACCCTCCCCAGAGGAACATCCTCCAAGTCAGTCGTCTCCTAAACCGTGTCCCTGTGGAGCACATAACCACGCCAGCTCTGCCAAGGCACTCCCCACCCCACCAGTGACACGTGAGCTGCTCTGATCTGCAGCACCTTAGGGAACATGGGAAACAAACCCCTCTCCTGACTGCTGATGGGAACACAGAGTCCTGTGCTGGATCAG